AGTGTCACAAGTCCTATCTATAGAATACACCGGGGCGGCAGGGCATTTGTCTGATTCCAGGAAACAGGATGAGCTATTGATACCCAGAACCCATGGCCATGATGTGTTTGAAGTGTGTTACTTTGATTGGATAATGTGTTACTCTTTAAATTGATTTGCTATGTCTGGATTTACAGGGCTATGATGTATGTAATGCCCAAGAGAGGCCTACATCATCAGTGGCCTTTACTGGCTTGGGGTCCCACCCCTCCTTGGCTGGCCTGTGTGCCCCAAGAACACTCTGACCCCAGCATGCTAGCACAATAAATTCTGCTTGCTTTTGCACTACCAGTGAAACTCTGTCGTTTCTGGGGGGCGCGGATAAAACTGGACTGTAACACAGGCTCACCCAGCTCCAGTCACAATGGCCACCAGAGGAGTGACCAGTGTTTCCCCCAAACTCCACTTCTTCCTGTAACTTTGCCTTTCAAACAAAATGAATAAATCTTAAAAAGTGAAAAAGAGGGCCAGAGTTGTGGATGACATTTCTGTTGTTTCGGACAGGTCTTTTGCCCACATGAAAAGACCAGTTTTTATTACCAACAGCAATTACCCCTGAATTTGCAACTGCTTTACATGACGGCAAAGGTCAGTCAAAGATCCCCCCAACAAAGAAGTCGCCTGCCAGAGACACTTCCTAAAGGTAAGCAGGGTGGGATTCTGACTCCTTGCAACACTGCTTTTCAGAGATTCTTCAAGAGATACGATCTTTTCCTGATGTCACACGAATAATTGAAAACAACAGCTGTATAACTGTAAAGGAAAAATGCAGTGGTAGCAGAACACTTACGGGCATTGATCTGAAGATCAGTCACATGAGAAAGAACAGCCTTATTTCCTCCTGGAAAGCCTTGTCTAATGCTGGGGCTAGAATGGCTTTACTGCCTACTGCCTTAACAAGCATCCTCACAGATGTTTATAAAAAAAAATCATGATTACCAAAGGAGATGGAAAAAAATGCTTGATAACTTTTAACATGCTTCCACGAATAAAAATCCCCAGCTACTAGGAAAAGAAAAAAACTTGCATAACCTGATAAAAACATTTACCCAAAAAAAAAGTAATGATAAACACTCCTGGTACTCAAGAGAATAGGACGAAGGCTGCCACGGGGACCAGGAGCTAGGTCAGATGCAAATGTCGTCACATCTACTGACCATCACACGGAGACATGAGTCAGCAGGGTAAGGGGGAAGAAAAAGATAAATGAAAGAAGGACTGAAAAAAATTAGTGGTGTCTACAGATAAGATAATCTGAGTTATTAAGACATTATCACATCTTTGGTTTCACCATAACATATTAAAAATTACTTCTACAGTGATAGCAATAATAAACAAACATGAATGTAAACTACCTTTAAAAGGGTGGGTACTTGGCTTAGTGAGCAAGACAGAGGTTAGGACCACAGCTGCCACACAGCAGGAAGGACACATCTGTGCACTGATCATCAAATTCCTTTCTTTTTTTTTTTTAAGATTTATTTATTTATTTATTGGAAAGTCAGATATATAGAGAGGAGAAGAGACAGAGAGGAAGATCTTCCGTCTGATGATTCACTCCCCAAGTGACTGCAACGGCCAATGCTATGCCGGTCTGAAGCCAGGATCCAGGAACTTCTTCCGGGTCTCCCACACGGGTGCAGGGTCCCAAAGCTTTGGGCCGTCCTCGACTGCTTTCCCAGGACACAAGCAGGGAGCTAGATAGGAAGTGGAGCTGCCGGGATTAGAACCGGCACCCATATGGGATCCCAGTGTGTTCAGGGCGAGGACCTTAGCCGCTAGGCCACACTGCCGGGCCCTGGTCATCAAATTTCTACTGAAAAGGACCTCCCTCTCACATTCATCGGCTAGGGCAATGTCACTTGACCACACATAACTTCAAGAGGCTGCAGGAGCGTGACTGTGCCATATTTCCTGAGGAGGAGGAACTAGTACGACTTGGTTAACAGGACCACTAAGCAGCCCCCTGGGGACAGACTTCTGGTGAGGATATGCAGCAGTGGAGGCACTCAGCCTACAATGTGAGGGAAGCCTGGAAAAGGCCGGCGTTATCTGATAAAGCGGTTGGCTGAGGCCTGGGAGGACCTGCGTCAGGCTGGAGCCTCAGGCTTCTTGGTGCTAGTGCTGCTGGCCACTTTCCAGAGGCCCGGCACTGACCCAGCAGGTCCTCTACACAAGTGCTCCAGCAGTCAGCGACAAACATCAGCAATAGCATTTAAGAACACGCGTGGCACCGTGCTTCATAATAGCCACAAACTCAAGATGACCCAAAGCCACTGATAGGATGGATAAATAAATGGTGGTCTACTCAAATAATGGAATCCTATGCAGCAATGCATTTAATCACCTGAGGTGACACACCACAGACTGGATAACTTCCGCAAGTGACATCAGACAAAGAAGACAGTACGGCCATGTATGTTAGGGTTCTGAAAGACCCCTTGGGCACACCTTCTGGGTTACCCCAACAATGAACTCAGCCTGGGCGGGTTCCCCCTCTCTCAGTGACAAGGGCTGCACTCACACTCAGTTTCCCCCAGGAATCCAAGTGCCCTCCCCAGGTACCAGTCCACAGGACCCACTCCCGACCCACGCACAGAAGCTGGACAGGTGGCATTCTCAGACAACTTCTAAGAATGGCTGGCACTTAAAAACAGACTGCCTGGTGCCCCAGCCCTCAACTAACACAGGGCCCTGGGGAAGGAGGGCAGTGTGAAGTCACACGAGCTCTAACACTCCTCTCCATGGGGAAAATGGGAGGATCGGAGTATTTCCCCTTCTCCTGCTTTCCCAGGCAAATTCATCCCTTAATCCGCATGACATGTTGAGAAATGCCCCTCCGGCTTGGTAAGCAACAGGTGGCTCCCACAGAGAGATCCAGTTTACACATCGGGAGGTAGACCACAGACAACACCTTCATCATCATCGTAACAATAATAGTAACAATGAAAACAGCCATTTAATTCATCACAGCTTCCAGCATGCCATCAAGATTGAGGAATACCCCAGAAACTTCCCAACCCTGGGAAGTACACAGCACAGCCACAACGGTAAGCACCCAGAGAGGCTGGGAGAATGCTGGAAGTTGGCATCGCTACAGGATCAACTTTGACAAATATCTACCCCCATCCCCAGTTACTTGGGGAAAGTATGAGAGTTCTGACTTAGAGAAGACAGTTTGTGCCCACTGGCCAGCCCTGATCAGCTGTTGCCCCGGGAAGCCCACAAGCGGGCAAATGCTGCCAAAATCAAACAGAGCTGCCCCCATCATTAAGGTGGAGAGTAGGGCTACTACAACCCTTAGGTGGAGGAAAGTTCCCAGCAACTGCAGCCTGGGGCCTGGGGGTTTGCAGCTACCTGGTTCTTTAAATGTTAACAAATCTCCCTTTCCTAACAAGAAGGTTTAAAAATCCTTTAAAAATTCTCCTTAGCACCCTCTTGTCCTCATCAGCACAAAGGAATTACATTTCAACAATGGCTCTCTTGGACAGAAATCACAGGAGAGCATCACCTTTATAACTGAAAGGCATAAAACAACCCTCCAGGGACCAATGCTGTCGTATAGTACATTAAGGCTCTGCCTGTGGCACCAGCATCCTGTATGGGTGCTGGCTCTAGTCCCAGTTGCTCCATTTCACATTCAGCTCCCTGCTTTTGGCCTGGGAAAGCAGTGGAGGAGAGCTCCCATGTGGGAGACCTAGAGGAAGGTCCTAGCCTCAAACCAGCTCATCTCTGACTGTTGTAGCCATTTGGGGAGTGAACCAGCGGATGGGGAGTTTTCTATTTTTCCTTCTCTCTGTAACTCTACTCTTCAAATAAAAAAATAAAACGAAATGAACAGAAACAAACAACAACCCTCAAGTGCTTGCTAAGAAATTGCTGGAGTTTCTAGGACCCTTTCATGTGAAAGTGAGAATGGTCACCTCACTGCGTTCCTGGCCTCTGGGAGTCCCATGAGGCTGTCAGTCCATGTCTGAAGGGATGGACTCCAATTTTTCAGGCTGCCACAGACAAAGCAGAGGTGGAAAGAGAAAACTGCCTGCCATTCCAGTTGCCAAACTCAGGAACATGCTCATATGTCAGTGGGCAATGGGGGATGGGCACCCCGTGGTAGAGTTAACCAAGACTGAAGGGCCCACTGAACAACAACACCATCCTTGGATGGCAAGGCCAGAACAACAGGACTAAAAGCTTCTGACTGATCACAACAAAAACAGACCAATAAAGGACCAGGGCCCAGCAACTGCAACAGCTTCCTAAAGTCCACTGTCCTGCAGGGGCCAAAGGTCACTGACACAGCAGTCAGATGAAGAGGACCAGCTAAGTCCAAGATGTACCATTCCTAACTCATGACATCACTGGCAACAACATGTGCCCAGCTAGATAAAATTCACGCGACCAACGTCATCCCCTTGCTGGCTGACTCCCCTTTAGTTTGGCACATGGGGACACAGGGCAAGTTCTAGTCATGCAAGGAACGTATCTGAGAAAACTCACCCAGGACTGTTTCAATTCTTCCATGACAGCTTGTCTGGCCTCATGTGACATCATAGATAACTTACTGTATTGTCCTTTAGCACAGTTTCAAAGTCAAAGTCTCCCTGTCAGGATGATTCCAAAGCTGCACTATCATTTGGCTTATCCCTAGGAGACTCATCAGCAACACCAAACTCTTCCACCTTCGGCCAGTTGGCCAGCTGTTCTGGTGTACCACTGCCCCATTCCCAGAAGTCTCTCCGTGCACAGAAGAATCATGATGTAGGCCCAGGAATAATCTCTATGTTAAAGACTGTTACTAGATCTTAGCTAGCTCTGCCCCAACTATTCAACTTAATCATTCAATGAAATGTATTTTAGGATTATCTCAGTAAAAAGCCACAGAAGGAGCACAAAGGTGTAGGGGTGACCAGAGTAGTCCTGAACTCAGTCAGTGGGGAACCCTGGCTTGGAAAGGGACATACCTTATCCATGTGGAAGATCAAATCCAATTCACAGACATTTTCAAAACACTTATCCAGGGTCTCTACAAAAACCTAGGAGAGAAGAAGCAGACAAAAAAGAGAAAAATGGGAACATATTCACAGCTTCAGGTCACATTTGAAAGAAAAAGTTGTCAAGGCATTAAGTTACACTAGAACAGATCTCAGAAAAACAGAGTGGGAAAACAGCAACAACTGCAGCACCACACACTTCATCCCGACATTAGCTGATCACTCGACTTACCTTGGTACAGAGTGGGAGGTCTAGGAGGAAAGCCTGAGCTCAGTACATCAACCCAGTCAGCAGGGACATGGAGTGCCCTGGCCCCTCCCTTCATAAGATGTTATTTCACATACAGTAACAACAATTTAAAATATCAGCCACATAAACACTATGCTCTTCATCCAAGCCTCAATGTATACACATATAAAAAATCATATTTGAACATATTAAAGCTTTATTTTAATTTCAGTTAACATTAACAACTTCTCATGAACCAACTTAGCTCACACATTACAATTTTAGCTTTTTAATAATGGAGCAAAGCACACGACTGATGAGGGCTCAGTTGAATAGATTTTCAGGATGAATGCATCACTCTCATCCAAGTAACACCCTGTTAGTCTTCCCTCAGCAGGTGGTCTCATATCAAAGGTCTTATCAGGAGTATCATCAATTGTTCAGCACTACAAGAAAACAGGTCTTCTCAGAGGCAAGTGACTGGGCCCAGGACACCCTTCTCCTGCAGTGTGAAGTGGGTGCACACATGTAAACTGCCCTGCAGCTGCTGCCTGAACACCCACTGCCATGGGGAACTACCGCCCACTGCTGGAGTTGGTCCTGCCCTTCTCTTATGTGAATAAAGGGCTGTTCCATCCAGTGCCAGACTGGGTTGCTTTCCTAAATGATTGTGATATCACAATGTAAGGGGCAGGAGATACAGGGGCCTCCGTAGGACTCACCAGTAACAGGTTCACAGTGTTTCAACGCTCCTAACTCTTGGGAAAACCATTTGCCACTGCGTATTAATACTCTATAACCTACTCTGCTCCTAGACTCATACTTGACAGACACGTGCTTGTGTAGGAAAAATGAATATAACCCCTGCTAACAACATTGTTCCTGGAGCTTTCTCTGTAGGATACCATAGTTAAATATGGCCCTGTCTGCACTTGTCATGCTAGGTACTCGGTGAGTCCTGACAATCCAACAGCCCAAGTCCTTCACTTCTGGGAAATCTCATTAAATTATTTTGTTGAGAATTTTCTCCCCTCTACATCTCTAACTTATTTTTTCCGGAGCTGCTTAGACTGGGGCATTGGACCTCCTTCCATTTTTGTAACTGTTTCTCTCCCAGTTGTCCACCCTGCCCATTCTGAGCACCTTCACTTAATCTTCCTTGTGTGTGTGTGTGTTTTAATTGGAAAGTTAGATTTACAGAGAGAAGGAGAGACAGAAAGATCTTCCATCCATTGGTTTATTCTCCAAGTGGCTGCAATGGCCAAAGTTGAGCCAATCCAAAACGAGGAGCTAGGAGTTTCTTCTGGGTCTCCCACAGTGGAGCATCTGGGACACAAACCAGCACCCATTTGGGATCCTGGTGCATACAAAGAGAGGACTTGTGCAAGGCAGCACTAGACTACTGCATCGGACCCCTTCCTTGTCCTTTAACGGAGGCAGGTTTGTTCTAAGGTTTTTCATTTCTAAGAGATATTTTTGTTCTTTGAGTGGTTTTATTTGTTTAGTGTCCAATTTTATTTCTCTGACATGAGGACTGGCTTTGTTGTGTTTTTATTGCCATTGTTGTTTTACTGCTTGCTACTCTCTGAACAGTGTCTAGGTCTCCTGAGCTGCTACTTTATTTCATGTTAGAGGTCTTCCCCAGGTACCTGATAATCCTTGTCAGTCAGAAAGTAGTGCTACAGTCAGGGTTACTTGTCAGGGACTCCTCACCTCCACACCAGGTTTCTTAACTTTCCTTTCCCTTATGTTGGTCAGATTCCCTGGGGAAATCTTACAATGTCCTGCCCAGAGAGTAAAGGTGTAGCTGCCAGAAATTTGGAAAGGGCTGGACAATTAGTTGGTGGATGGCAACTGGAATGAATAGCCTTATGAATCCCCTGATTCACACAGTAGCTCTGCCTGTGTTCCCTAAAGCAGAGACACAGAGAATAACTCCAGCCTTATGCTGGGGAGGCAGCTGCCCAGAGAACTGCACCTGGGGAAAGGACTTCTGGCTCTGACTGCATCCCAGACAGCCTTCTCTGCCCACGGCGCACGCGCACCCCAGTGAGTGCCCTTGCTGCCAGTTCTGTACTTTCTGAGGGTTCCGTGGTACGGTTCAGGGTAACTGTCCGGATTCCCAACTGCTGGCCTTGGGATGTGGGTTCCTGAGCATGCCAACTCACTTACCAGGCATTCACATTCTTTGCTTTCAAAACATTTGTGGATATTTTTGCCTTTCTTGTTCTGTCCTTCCGTGTGTTATTACTTACTTGTCTATGTTTTTTTTTTAACTTATGAATTTAAAAGACAGAGTTACAGAGAATGAGAAAGAGATACATAAAAAGATCTATCTAGCAGTTCACTCCCCGAAACAGCTGCCAAAGCCAGGGCTGGGCCAGGGCAAAGCAAGAAGCCAGGAGCTTCACTGAGGACCCCCACACAGGTGCAGGGGCCATAAGCCTTCTTCCGCTCTTTTCCCAGGCCATTGGCTGGGAGCCGGATAGAAGTGGAGAAGCTGGGACTCAAACTGGCTCCCAAAGGGACACTGTCATTGCAGGTAGCCACTTCACCAACTTGGCCACAATTCTAGCCCCCATTGTGTATAATTTAAGGAAAACAAATTAATCCAGAAGTGTGGAAGTCTCTAATAAAGATATTTTTTAAAGTGTATTTATTTGAAAAGCACTCTTATGAGGGTAGGGGAGGGAGAGAGAAAGGAAAAGAGAGATAGACAAAGAGATCTTCCATTTGCTGGTTCATTTCTCAAATGGCCATAATGACTGGGATTAGAAGGTCAAAGCCAGGAGCCAGGAGCTTTAACCAGGTCTCTCAAGCAGATGGCAGGGGCCCAAATCCTTGAGCTATCTTCCAGATTATCCAGATACATAAGCAGACAATTGGACGGGAAGCAGAATAGCTGGAACTTGAACCAGCACTCACATGGGATGCTATTTTCACAGGTAGTTGGCTTAACCCACTGTGCCATATGCTGGTCCTTCGAATAAGACATTTTAAAAAATGAAACCTGGTGAAGGCTAAGTCCTTCAGGCATAAACTCGGGATGCCACATTCTATTTTCAGAGTGCCGGGTTTGAGTTCTGGCTATTTCTATTAATGCGCACCTTAAGATACAACAGCCATTGTCCAAATACTTGGATTCCAGCAAATCACTTGGAAAATTTGGGCTGAGTCCCCAGCTCCCAGCATCAGCCTGGCTGCTGTGACATTTGGAGAGGGAACCAGCAGATGGAAGAGCTCTCTCCAACTGTCTCTCTGCCCTTCAAACAGAATGAAAATAAATGAAGAGGGACCAGTGCACTAGCCTAGTGGCTAAATCCTTGCTTTGCATGCACTGGGATCCCATATGGGCATCAGTTCTTGTACTGGCTGCTCCACTTCCCATTCAGCTCTCTGCTGGCGGCCTAGAAAGGCAAAGCAGTAAAGGATGGCCCAAGACTTGGGGACCCTGTGTGGCAGACCAAGAAGAAGCTCCTGGCTCCTGGCTTCTGATTGGCTCAGCTCTGACTCTTGCAGCCATTTGGGGAGTGAACCAGCAGATGAAAGATCTTTCTCTCTGTAATTTGACTTTCCAATAAAAATAAATCTTAAAAAAAAAATGAAGCAAAAAATAATGCTTGATATCTTACAGAAGATTAAGTATAATGAGAACTTAATTCTAAAGATTTGTTTGAAAGGTAGAGCTACAGAGAGAGAAACATCTTCATCTACTGGTTCACTCCTCAAATGACCACAACACTTCCGGCTGGATCATGCAATGCCAAGACCTGGAAATACAATCCAGCCCCCCCACTTGGCAATGGGGACCCAAGCACTCGGCCAGCTTCTGCTGCTTTTGCAAGCCATTAGCAGGGAACTGGATGGAAGTGGAACAGCTGGGACTTGGACTGGTATTATGAGAAGTTGGTATCACAAGTGGTAGCTTAGCATACTGTACCACAATGCTGGCCCCATAAAAGAGCATTAGGCAAAAATAAATATTTAAATAGGAAAAACAGTGATAAGGAAGGACTTGTCTTTACAAACTAACCAAAATGTGTTATAAAGCTTTAGTACTGAGGCTGACACAATGGGTCAACTGGCTAATCTCCTCCTTCAAGCTCCAGGATCATATAGGCACTGTTCATGTTTGGGTTGCTCCACTTCCCACCCAGACAGTTCCTCTGAGAACGGTGAGCTCACACATACACAAACCCACCAAAAAGCACAGCACAGATAATGCAGCAGAACCTGACTGCACCAAGCAGAAGAACTGTGATCTAGATGGTGGCAAACACATGTTACAACCAGATCTTGCCCTGCTCAAGCCCGGGATGTGGGCGATGCAGCAGCAGCAGGAGCAGTACAAGAAAGAGCTGAGGCAGAAAAAGAAGCACCTAGGGCCCATTGTGGTAGCCTACCAGCTAAAGTCCTTGCCTTGAACATTCCGGGATCCCATATGGGCGCCAGTCCTAATCCTGGCAGCTCCACTTCCCATCCAGCTCCCTGCTTGTGGCCTGGGAAAGCAGTTGAGGACGGCCCAAAGTCTTGGGACCCTGCACCTGTGTTGGAGACCTGGAGGAAGTTCCTGGCTCCTGGCTTTGGATTGGCACAGCACTGGCCATTGCAGCCACCTGGGGAGTGAATTATCGGACGGAAGGTCTTCCTCTCTGTCTTTCCTCTTCTCTGTATATCTGACTTTGCAAAAAAAAAAAAAAAGGAAGAAGCACCAAGCCACCCAACAAACTGAATCAACGTCAAGCCAGAATCTGCCCACCTCCTCTGGGGCAGAATCAGCAGTGGACGCACCACAGCTTCAAACAGCAAGCTG